TTTCCTTCTGAAGGTGACAACCCTTTCCAAAGAACCTATCAGAAACATTCCCACCAAGACTGCTAACATCTGACCCGTGCAGGATTATACTGTTGTTTTCTTACCTCTTTAGAGTCTCAGAGTGTCTGGCTGCTATTCAGACTTAGAGTAGACTAACACTATTAATACCAAGACAATCCTTGTAACGAAGTGAGATTAAATATTTGGAGAAGATTCCTGCAGAAACATTTAACAGGCTATGCTCCAAACTCTGTGTGCTAATCTCATAAGCAGTTTAACAGGAGTACAGAAATTAAACTAGAGCTATTTTACTTCTATAATTTTTCCTACAGAAAAAGAATGCTCTCTAGCTTGTATTTTGCAAATGAAATATATTTCTGAGGGAAAAAAAAATAAGATAAAAAAGATGAGTTTTGAAACTTAGAGTTCACACAAAGTATTCTGACCTAATTTATATCCTGTCATAAGTGAAAAGAAAGCCAGTTTAAAAGTTTAGAAGATAGACAGCACTGTTGTTTTCTGCTTAGGAGGAAATTAAGATCAGAAGAGGTAATGAAAGGAGAAGCTGCCTCAGAAAACGCAAAACCAAGCAGAAATGTTTCAGGGTATTACAGTTATATCATGCAATACCTGAAAAACTCCTGTCTCCATGCTGACTTAAACCCAGACATCTCTAAAGGTGAGAACTACTACAAGATAACTAGGTTTAATTTCTTTTTTTCTTGTGAAGTTGCAACATGATTCTTTAATGGTATTGCCTTTTTCTTTTTAAACAAGAGCCCAATCATTACTGCAGTCTGTTCTATAAAGAATATGTTTGCTTACAGTTTAATTCACCAAATTATCCCACTTTTTCTGAATAAATAGTTCTAAAGGTTCTGAAACACATGAAAAGTGAAGCCATCATAGAAAGTTTTAAGTGCAGATCAATATAATTCAAGGCAATATGAAAATGAACAGTGAGCTGTGAAAATCACTTTGGTAGCCATGGTGGACTGCATTCCACATAATTCTTGCTGTTACCTCAACTTCTTGCCAGCATCTTTGCAGGAGATGATCTGTGTATACATGTGTAAATAAAAACAAATGCCAAGTCACACAGCAATGGACACATGACTTGACTGGACACATCAAACCACAGTTTGAGTTCATAAACCAGCAAAAATACTGCAACCACTGCAAAAAATACTGCAAAAAATCTCACTGGTATGTATTTAAATGGAGAACATGAAAATGTTCTATTTTATCATCTGTTGTGTAGCAAGTGTAACTTAACAGCAGTGGTACATGTACATGGTTTCTTACTAGGTTAAAACTTAAAAAATTTAAGTAATTTATACACATTTGGCAAGTTTGGATTTTGGAATAAAATCTGGAAGGCACACATGGACAACTGGATCCCAACATTTCTATTTCTAGGATTCTCCAGTTCTCCTAAAATTTAGAAACAGACAAAATAAAAATGAAAGTAATAATAAAATAATAATAGTAATAGTAAGTACACAAAACCCACAGATAATTTATTGGTACCAAGAAACAGATTAATCTTCCTTCCTGAAAGTAGGCTGGAAAATATCATATTAACATGTATTTCTGATACTTTAAAATACTCAAGACTTCTCCCATTCACAGTTCAGAAGAAACCAAATAATTATAAAATAAATATTGTGTTCTTTCCCTCCTTATATCACATCTTCATATAGCATATTATGGCATGAAACAGTTGATATCACAGCCCTACTGCATATTTATTTTCCTTTTTTTTATATGAAGTAAACATAAAAGAATGCTCTGGAAAATTAGTTTGTAATGATATGAACTTTTCCACTGCCTATATGTAGAACTTAAGTATTATTTCTGACAGTGATATGGGACTTATTTCATTTTTAAACAACAAAGCCTCATTCTCCAACAGTATAAATATGTAAAGTTTTTACTACCTGTTTATGAGCTCCTATGAGCTAACAGTCTACCTGCATAAATTAAAATTACTCCCTGCCACAAACTTGACTGTAAACATCTTAATCCCCCTTTTTCTAAAAAAAAAGTTTTTGACTTAAACTTTAAGTGAATGAACACTGAACTGCATTTTATGACAGATGGATGATGCAGAACAGACGTTGAGCTAAAATTTAATTTGCCAAATATCAGCTCAGAACACGTATTTAAAATTAGGAGTATCAGTAAGACAAACTACATGGTGAAAACAATATAAAAAATTGTAAATTACACCAGTGTCTGCCAACAATTTTTCTGGACCTCCAGATAGAAATTCTGTCTGAACTGAAGATTACAGAAAATTATGTTCAATTTTAGTAATGCTAATTGCTTGTTAGGGTGAGTACAATCTCTTCTGGATATCTACTTTTTCATCTTGAGCTGAATGCCACATGGGAAATACTATCAACAGCCTGCAAATAGTATGTTTTTGTCTTGCAGATTTTCCCCTGCCACTGAGCATTTTTTTGGACCTCTGGTTGCACAGGTAGGTTTGGTGTCTGAAAACGATGCCTACTGTTGCCCTCTACAATTTGTCACAGTTACAGAACACTCCAACCAACCAGGCAATAAAAGCAGCAACACAGCTGTAAGGACACTTGTGACTTCTCAGATGACAAAGTGCAGCTGCTGACCAATCTATGTACTTTATTCTTGCTGTATAAGATATAACTGGTAACCCGTCAGGGCATACAGCAAGACTTAACACAGACACTGTAAGCCTGTATTGCATTTGGGTCATTTTCCTTTTCCTGGTTGTATCTCCCACATGCTATCCTATGTAATTTCTATCCTTCCATATTACTTTTTGAAGTAGCTGGAAAGTCTTTAATTTTATCACTTCCACACTTGTAATATATTGGCATTTTTGTAATCTATTAAAATAAATCAACACATTAAAAGCATTCTGATTGCTTTTATTACTTTTCTCCAAACTCCTTTCAAATGTTCAATGTCTTTCCAATAGCTCAATGAACAGCAACTGCTGTAGGCCACAGACAATTTCACAAGTCAGTCTGCCTCAGTGGAGTATGGCTTCTGGGGACTAAGGCATAACATAATCAAGTGTCTTTCTGACATTTATCAGAACTATTCAAACCAACATGTAAAGGCAGAAATACTAATATATACCACACATAGCCTATGGATCAAATGAATAAAATTAAGAGTAATGCAAACCTATTTACAAAAGTTTAATACAAATTTCCAATCTATCCAATAGTAATCAGTAATAATATTTAATGACCCTCTCTAAAGGGTTTATGAAGTTCATTTTATACCTAGATGTCTGCTCACTCCTATTTTACCTACAGAAATCAATACTCATGAATGTACAAATGGTACCACAAGACAATTGAGAACTAAAAAAGAAGCAAATGAAAAATACTAGCACATATCCTGTACATTAACTGGCTAACAGTTGCAAAGTGATAGCAAAGGAATTGAACAGAAATAACCTTTTCTTATAAAGATATTATGTCTAAGACCTGTAGAGATACCGTAAATATGTCTTTCCTGTTTAAATGTCTTCTCCTGTATAAACAGGAATTGCATTAAGAATTGCATTTTTAACACCACCATGCTTCTCCTAAGAACATTTCATATAGAATACAGCAATTTCTCCTCCTAATCAAAGTTTATTTAACTTTCAATGTAACACAATTACAAAGCAAAGCTCTTTTTTCTACATGGGCTCTTATTTTATGGAATAGAAATATAACACCACCATTTCAAAGAAACACTTTCCCCCTCTTGTTACTAATGTTTGCTTTGGGGCAGGGGGAAGAAGGGGGGCACTTAAATTTGTATTCTT